AATGACCCGAACGATCCATGGAAAGGCCCAGTAGCTGTCGGCGCCACGCTGAGGCAGTGCGCTTCGGCGTCATACCCTGCCCCCCCCCCAGTGAGAATTCCTCCACCCAAGCCCGTGTCGAAAAAAATGCTCCTTCAACAACCCCTCAAAAAACTAAGCCCCAAAACAAAAAAACAACAGAACCCTAAACCCCCTCCCCCCCCACCCCGCCCCCCCCCCCCCCCCCCCCCCCCCCCCCCCAAAGAAAAAAAAACAATAAACATCGTTTTAAGAATCGTTGGCCTGCAGGCCTCCGGCTTTACATCCTCCACCCCCCACCATTACCCGACGCCCGAAACCCGAAACTCTTTCAGACCTTGCAAAACCTAGGCTTACCTGGCTAAGGTCCGTTTAAACCCAGTAAGGGCAAAATGCGCCCTAAACCCTAAACCCTAAACCCCAGTAAGGCAAATTGCCTCCGAATGTGCGGCTGCTCCACACGAACTTGTGGATCAAGGGCTCCTTCGGTCTTTTCTGCGCGAACTCGGTAGCAAGAGCCACAACCTACCTCCGGCACCTACAGCTCGAAAATGTGTAACATGTAATATATGTGTATGTATATATAATGTAACTATCTATCTATCTATACATACATACATACATACATACTTTCCTACATACATGTGTATAGATATAGATATAGATATAGATATAGATATAGATATAGATATAGATATAGATATAGATATAGATATAGATATAGATATAGATATAGATATAGATATAGATATAGATATAGATATGGATATATATATATATATATATATATGAAAAGTTACATATATGCATGCATGCATGCATGCATGCATGCATGCATGCATGCATGCATACATACATACATACATGCATACATACATACATACACACATACACGCAAACATGCACACATACATACATACATACATACATACATACATACATACATACATACATACATACATACATACATACATACATACATACATACATACATACACATACATACATACATACATACACATACACACATACGACACACATACACACATACACACATCACACATACACACATACACACATACACACATACACACATACACACATACACACACACACACACATACACACACACACACACACACACACACACACACACACACACACACACACACACACACACACACACACACACACACACACACACACACACACACACACACACACACACACACACACACACACACACACACACACACACACACATGCACACATCCATACCTACATACATACCTACGTACGTACATACATACATACACACACCCTTGGCAGTCCCCAGAACCCCCTCTGCTTCACCTCGGGGACCAGCGACGGGATGCCCGCCGCGTAGACGTCCGTGAGGCGCAGGGCGCTGGGCCCGTGGGGCAGGAAGATGACGGCGTGGAAAGCCGCGATCCTTAGGGGTTTAGGGTTTTGGGTTTTGAGTTTAGGGTTTAGGGTTTAGGGTTTAGGGTTTTGAAGGCTGTTATGGGGGTTTTGGGGGGCTTAGAGAAGGGCTGTTTAGGGCTGTATTATGAGGGTTTGGGACTTAGGAGGGCTTTCGGGTTGATGGGGTTTAGGGCTGAGAAGGGCTTTGACGGGTTTAGCGCGTTTAGGGTTCAGGACTTATAGGGTCCTTGCGCCTTGTCTTTGGGTCAGGGAGTAAGGCTCCGCCGGGGGCGGGGTGGTGGAGGGAATAGGATTCAGCGCCCATACGGAGAGCTCTCAAGTTCAGCGGGGGAGCTCCTCGAACGTGTACACGCGCGGGGCGTTGTTCATGTCCACGACCTGGCCGATGCTTCTGAAAACTGCTTGGTCCTACGTAGGGCTTAGGGCCTTAACTCGAAATGCAACTGGAGGTTCGGCCGGAACGATTTATACAGCCGCAGCCATTGTCTCTCGTTCGTTGACCTTGACACCAGGTTTCTTGTACAGGAACAGCTAGCCCCCAAAATGACCCTTCAACCCCACACCCTGAACCCCGAAGCCTATGCCCTGAACTTGAACCTCACACTCCAAGTAAACCCGACGCTAAACCCGATACCTGGAATCCTTGCAGCTTCGGCCCACAAGCCAAGTGCGGCCTCCACAGGGCTCTCCGAAGCCACCTCGTCCAGGAACATCCGCAGGGCCGTCCGGAAAGCTAGCCTAGAGAGGGTTTAGGGCTTAGGGCTTAGGGCTTAGAGGTTCCGGTGAATTTCTCTCAAAAAAGATCTGCTTTAGGATTTTAGGGTGCAAATAGAAGGGGATCCTAACTCGGCGAACCTAGCAAGTGGGATTCCTAGGTCCTAGGAGGCTCATCGGGTCTAAACCCCCCTCCTCCCGAAGCTGCAGAGAAAAAGATGTCGGGTAGCATATTCTGCCGGTTGTTCCGGAAGAGCAAGGCCTGGCGGGCTTCCGCCGGATGGTACCTGGCAGCCATGGGTTCTCGTAGGGGAATTAAGGGGTGCCTTTTTTGGGTGGGGGTGGGGGGCCATGCCCAAAACACACCGCTGTTTGCTGCCTCTGTGCCTCTTTGTAAAAGATGCTGCAAAGGGATGTTTGACGCTGCTGGAACAAGACGCGCTGTCACAAGCCTTTTGTCAAAACTCCATTGTTGCCTGTTATGAAGAACGTACTGCAAAAACAATGTTTGATGTTTCTGCAACCAGGCTCGTTGTCACACACGTTCATGCCTTTTGCGAACATGCTCAAAAACGGCTATTTGCGGCATACCTGCCTCTTTCTACAACAGACTCAACCTTCACCAACAACCATGTTCATCTCCTGGAAAGGGTTTCCACTTTGTGCCGTGAACCCGAAACCCTGGCCATGCGCGACAAGCGCGTTCAAAAGGCTAGAGTGTCAAGCGATTCCAAACAGTAATTTGTTAAAGTCGTGGGGGTCCAAACTTGCGAAGCAAAACCTCGTTTCGTGTCGCAGGTGTTGCAATCCCTTCCCGCTGAAAAAAAAGAACTGGCCCCAAAACCCGATCCCGTAGCATAAGAACCCCCCTACAACTGTTTAGGGCTTTGGGGGTGTTTTTAGACAGAGAGTGTTGAGGGTGGGAGAGGTGCAGGGAGGGAGGGAGGGAGGGAGGGAGGGAGGGGAGTGGGAGGACGGGGGAAGGGGAAGGGAGCGGAGGGGGGGGTTAACAGCAGGGGATTACTTTCGCCATGCGTCGCTCTGAACCCTTGCACAACCATCGTAGGGTTGTATATGACTCAAAAAAACGCATCATCAGACAACTACCCAGTGCTGATCCCGCACCTTGTTCTGCAACGGACCCTGCAAGCCCTGTTGAAACGGGAAACAAGCCATGTCTGCACCAGGGCTTCCCGATCCTACAGTTGCCCAGCATGCCCAGCAGTACCGCAAGCAAAAAACCAGAATAAGCAACGATCATCCCTGCGGCCTAAAGCCCAAACCCGTCAGTGGAAGTCTTTGCGACCAACTTCTACGGCCGCAAATGGGCAGCGAGCCCCCAAACTTGAAACACCGAGGCCCGGCCGCCAACGCAAACAGCCTAAAACCCTGAAACCCTGAAACCCTGAAACCCTGAAACCCTGAAACCCGAAGCACTAGAACCCTAAAACGTAAACCCCAAGACCTAAACCCTGAACCCTGAAACCCTCTAAACCCTGAAAACCCTAAACCCCGAGCTCTTGGGCCGGCCTCGCTCGAATCCCCAGCCCCACGAAGGGCACGTAGGGCAGGCGCCATCCGGTTTGGTAGGCCACCTGGCAGAGCGGTTGTGGTTCATGCAGCTTTGGAAGGGCTTGGGGTTTAGGGTTTAGGGTTTAGGGATTAGGGTTTAGGGTTTAGGGTTTAGGGTTTAGGGTTTAGGGTTTAGGGTTTAGGGTTTAGGGTTTAGGGTTTAGGGTTTAGGGTTTAGGGTTTAGGGTTTAGGGTTTAGGGTTTTTTGGGGCTTCGGGCTGAAGGTTTCGGGTGGTTCACGTAGTTTCGGAAGGGTTCAGATATGTACGTAAAGGTGTGTATATATATGTATATATATATATATATATATATATATTTATTTATATATGCACGACATATCTACATATATATATATATGTATATATATATATATATATATCTGCATACATAGAGCCACGCTACTGGGAGACACCTCACGCCCCGCCTCTGTGCGTTTCTGTAGGGTCTGGGGTTGAAACAAACCGTAAAACAAAGTGCAAGGGTTCAGGGTTCAGGGCTTACCGGCCCTCGAGAAACACCCACGCCCTCAACCGGTCTTAGCACCTGGGCCCTGTGAGAATACCCTCGCAGATCGGACTTTTGAACCTCAGAGGGGAACGTAGACAAGCTGGCCCAATCATCTAGTTCATGGTCCCTGTGTATGTACCCTATACAAGGTTCAAGATACAAGGCTCTGTTGTCATAGCAAGCCCAAAACACTAATAATCAATAGAATATAACCGATAACAACTGAACTTGGAGGTTCATGGGGAGTTCTAAGCAGGGTGATGAGGACCGCAAATGGGGTTTGTAAGTAGAATTACCATACTTAATGACCATACTTATACCTCCCCATGAACCTTCAAGTAGCCCTAAACCCTAAACCCTAAACCCTAAACCCTAAACCCTAAACCCTAAACCCTAAACCCTAAACCTATGTAGAGAGAGGAAGCCCGAGCCTGCTCTGCCGTGATGCGGCAGCTGATGGAGAGGTACATCCTCTTGGCCTCCATCATCTCCTGCCGAGGAACCCTTCAGGGCTTCAGGTTTGGGGTTTGGGGTTTGGGGTTTAGGGGTTTAGGGGTTTAGGGGTTTAGGGGTTTAGGGGTTTAGGGGTTTAGGGGTTTAGGGGTTTAGGGGTTTGGGGGTTTAGGGGTTTAGGGGTTTAGGGGTTTGGGGGTTTAGGGGTTTAGGGGTTTAGGGGTTTAGGGTTTAGGGTCCCTGAGCCTGGCAATCTTGAATCCTCTCAGAACTGAAGCTGGACAAGTGGTGATACCCTTTGTTTTCCAGTAATGCCGGCCTAGGTGCGCAGATATGGGGAGCCAGATTTGCAGCAAGATCCCTGTGCCTCTAAAGCCCCAAAAACCCCAAAGCCCTTGGGGGTTAGTTAGAACACACCACGGTGCGCCCCAATGGGCTCGTAACCCCATTCCGGGCCTTGAAGCCCTGCCAGATAACACGCAGATTTTCCTCGTCAGCTCGGGGGAACCTCTGCTCCAGCTTGGCACAGAACAAGGCTCCCTTTCATCCAGCAAAATGAGGGGCCTGAGCGAAGCTTTCAGGTGCAACTAGGGTTTCGTGCATCTGCGTCAAGAAGCCGAGCCCGGCTCCAGACATTCCAGGCTGAAGCCCGACAAAGAACAGCGCCAGAACTTGGTTCCCCCTTATGCTCACAGTCCTGAATTCGGGATTATAGGGGGGGGAGTAATTACTAGAATCCCTATTAAGGACTGCTAGTATAAGGGGGAACATCCCGAGCCAGAACGAAGATGCCTGCCCCCGTCGTTCGGGGCTTTGGGTTCAGGACTCAAGGCCGAGGTGAGGACTGAACGTCCTACTTGTGGGCACCCGAAACCCGAAGCCCTAAGCCCGAAGCCCTGAACCCGAAACCCGAAACCCGAAACCCGAAGCCCTTCGTTGCCAAAAAACTCGTTGAGGAGCGCCATGTGGAGGATCCCGACCATGGCTCTCCCATGCCTTCCAGCAACTCCGGCTGAGGCCAGGGGCCTGGCCCCTGGCCGAAATTCCCACATAAACAGATCATTTTCTCTACTTATACATGCAGAGAGAGAGAGAGGGAGAGGGAGAGAGAGAGAGAGAGCACATACATGTACATATGCATATGCATATACATATACATATCCATATGCATATACATATACATATACATATACAGATACATATACAGATACATATGCATATACATATAGTTGAGGCTGCGGGTGGGGCCTGACATCCGCTCAAGCCCGAGGCAGCTCTGGGGTTGAGAGTTTGAGGGTTTGAGGGTTTGAGGGTTTGAGGGTTTAGGGTTTAGGGTTTAGGGCTTAGGGTTTAGGGTTTAGGGTTTAGGGTTTCGTCGGGTTTCGGGGTTTAGGGTTTAAGGTTTAGGGTTAGGGTTTAGGTAAGGTTTAGGGTTCAGGGCCTAGAGCCCTAAACCCTTGCAAGCCCGACACCCTCCCACCCGCCTGGGCCGCACGAAAGGGCCTGAGCTGCAGAGGGCTTCTTAAGCAGGAAACTGCGTAGGATGGTTTAGGGTTTAGGGTACAGGGTTCAGGGTTCAGGGTTCAGGGTTTCGGGTTCGGGGGGGTTCCAGGGTGCAGGGTCCAGGGTTTTGTTTTTTTGTGGTTCAGGGCTTTGCTGTGGGGGTTCAGGGTTCAAGGTTCAGGGTTTAGGGTTAGGGGGGTTCATGGGTGATTTGAGTATCGTTCTAAGTACCTTAATGACGGTCATAATACAGGCTACCTTACTTTATATCCCCACTTACAACTACCCATGAACCTTCAAGCCAATCCTACTCCAAAACCCTACTGCAAGCCGCCTTAGCCCTAAGCATCGCAACCCCAAGCGACCCTGCGGTGTCCCATCACCACCTCGGTTTAGGACTTAGGGCTTAGGGTTGAGGGTTTGGGTTTAGGCTTCAGAGTTGAGGGTTTAGGGTTTAGGGTTTAGGGTTCAGGGTTTAGGGTTTAGGGTATGTTTGCGAATGCAGAAGGAACGAGAGGCGAATCGTGAAAATCTGTGCCGTCCATCTGCCCGCAGCACTCCTGCCACCTCTGAATCCGTGGTCCGCAGCATAAAGAACGCTGCGCACGGCATTTCCTACCAGTAAGATGAGCCTCAGAAGCCTTTGGCAACCGATCATTCATCCTCAGTCTTGAGCAAAAACCTGCCCCTTCGGGGCGGTGGAAGCACGAGGGGATTACCTCGTGCAGGGAGAAATGTTTAAAGAGTTCGGTCAGAGACTTGCGACTGGCATCAGCGCTTCTCAGACCAACGGCACGACGTACTCAGAACGCACCACGTAGGTCGAAGACACCAGAATGCGGGAGCCGTGGGGTTCGAGGTCAACCGACATCCCGTACAGGTCTTTCATCTGCTTGCAGAGGTTGTCGAAAGACTCGGGAGACACCTGGTGGCAATCCTTGTCCACATGCCAAGTGATGACGTATGGAGAGCAGACTGAGTTGTCGTGCGACTGGCCGGTGGTTGACCTAGGATCCGCGAACTCGCGATCAAGTGCACTTAGTAGGGTGTATTGTCGAGGGCTACGGGCCTTTGGGTTTAGGGTTTCGTATTCAAGGTTTGGAGTTTATGGCTTCAAGGGCTCGGAGCTTAGGGTTCAGGGCTTGCAAAGCATGTGAGATGCGAGGCTTGAAAGGTTGAAAGCGTACAGGCCGTCGGGATTAGGGCTTGCTGGGTTTTTGACCCGACCTGAGCAAGAAAGTATATCGCAGCGGCAAAATCTCTGTGCCTCAAGTGACATCTCTCAAAGACGTGAGACTGGACGACTTACTGAGAAAGGAACGGTGCCTCTTGCAAGCCACGCGACCCTGAGTACATGACGGAGTTCGCGTGGCCAACAACAGTCCAGCCATGCAGCAGGTCGTCCACCGTGGGGCCACCGTTCACGATCTGGTAGACCTGGCCCTGCACCACAACCATAGGGTTCAGAAGACCACGGCCATTTGCGGCACCTGCAAGATTCACAGATCACATGCGCTCAGATGCTTTCGAGAAAACACACTTCAACTATCAAGAGTTCTGGAAAGTGCCTCCCCGAAGCAGCAAGACCAAGATGTCGACTCTCGCAGACTCAGAGAGAGAGAGAGAGAGAGAGAGAGAGAGAGAGAGAGCGAGAGAGCGAACCGCATTTGCACACGGGTTGACTCACCTGCGCTGATTGTGAGTGGCTGTGTGACAAGTAGAACAGATGGTTGGCTGAATGCTCACGTGCCTCCCAAACCATCGGCAAGGAGATCCGCATTGATGTCGTCCGAAGCATTGTGGTCGGTGCCGGCTGAAGAGTGCACGTAGTGGACCTCGTAGGACTTGCCGACCTGCATATCACCCTTGCAGTGCTGAAAGGTGTACGGCATCATCTGCGCGTCCGTGAGCGTGTCCGTGGGGCACATGAAGCCAGGCCGCGGGTTGCTGGCCAGGCGCCTGCCGGAGGAGGCCGCGTCGTATGCCATCGCGTCGGTGTCGTTGTTGTAGGCATCGCTCTTATGCTCAGCCCCCAAGTGCCAGTGCACGTTCACGAGCGGCAGGAAGTTTGCCTGAGCATCCGTCAGCGTGGCCGCCTTCGGCACCATGCTGCCCGTGGCGCCAGTTGAAAGATCACGAGGCGTCTGAGGCTCGGCAGTATTGCAAGCTGGCTTGTTGAAGTTGTACGGACAGGTGGGAGTGCCCGGAACCGGGTTGCTCAGCACCGTGGTAGGGGAACCGCAGCACTGCTCACTCTTGTAGAAGTCCTTCAACTCCCCGCAGGTGACGGCCTCCGCCCCGACAGCCAGCGCCAGTGCCAGCGCCAAGCCAGTGGCAATCTTGGGCCGGGCCGAGGCGAGGGGCAGCAGCAGCGCCATCCACGGCGAGCTGCGGAATCCGGAGCCCGTCTCTTCGCCGGTTGTCTCGCAAAGGTCCACCTCCGGATCGTCAGGGCACGTGGCGATGGCGACTTTGGCGAGGCAGGCGGTCACTGCCAGCAAGCGCAACATGGCTGGGATTCAGGTCTGTGTCTCGTCACAACTCTCAGCACAGCAATGCAGGCCCTGCTCTGACTTGCAAACGCTCAGCGCACAGAAGTCTTCAAAAAAAATCAGGCTCGGGGTCTACAAGGGGTTCTTAAGGCTTAGAGCTCAGGGGCTTTGGGTCTTGGGCCCTACATCTCCTACAAGTGCGTGAGAAAGAAGCCCGTGCCCCAAATTCCCCCAAAAAAGGACCATAATTCAGGGAGCTTGCCCGTGCATAGGGGCGCGAATGGTCGTTTCAGCGACTCCTCTGATGCCGAGGGCTTCGGTGATATGAAGCCAACATAAGTAAGTGCCAGTATCGTAGAACCCCGCCACGCTTAATATCATGTCACTCTTCACACCCAATCCGGGCGAGTGCCCCTCCGGCAGAAGCATTAATAGAAGCCTCAAGACCTCCAGCATCAAAGAAGCAACTGCAGCTCAAACATAAAACGCACCCCCGTCTCCAACAAACGTCCTACCACCGACTGCTCCGAGCGGCAAAGCCACAGCGGCTCACTGCAGAGCACCAGATCCTTCTTGGAGGCTCATGGGTAGTTATAAACAGGGTTATAAGTATGGTAACTATACTTCTCACCCCACTTAGGGTACTTGCAACCCTGCTTATAAGTACCTGTGTACCTCCAAGTTGGGTCTGCTCTCCGTGGGTCAGATTTCAAAGGCTTAGGGTTTGGGGTTTAGGGTTTAGGGTTTAGGGTTTAGGGTCTAGGGTCTAGGGTTTAGGGTTTAGGGTTTAGGGTTTAGGGTTCAGGGTTTAGGGTTTAGGGTTTAGGGTTTAGGGGAAAAGAAGGCCTCGTTTTCTTCGAGATGGCAAGATTGCGGCTTCGGGGCCTCGGAGTTTGTCCACATTGCCCCAGATTCCTCCAAGCCCTGCAACACACAGACCACGCGAAAACCTGAACGTGCCTTCTAGTTCGACCCTAGAGAAACACCCTAAACCCTAAACCCCAAACCCTCTAAACCCCAAACCCACAGCCCCAGGCACCGCTTCCCAGAGGCCCGGAGCGATGCGCGGGAGCCAGGCCTAGAAGGCGGTTGAGGGTTGAGGGTTGAGGGTTGAGGGTTGAGGGTTGAGGGTTGAGGGTGGAGGGTGGAGGGTTGAGGGTTGAGGGTTGAGGGTTGAGGGTTGAGGGTTGAGGGTTGAGGGTTGAGGGTTGAGGGTTGAGGGTTGAGGGTTGAGGGTTGAGGGTTGAGGGTTGAGGGTTGAGGGTTGAGGGTTTAGCGGTTGGGGAGGCTCGGGTTTCGGGCTGCGTGACACTTTTTCAACGTCGACCCTAACCTGAACACAGGCACGTGTCCGGCCACCCTCAGACGCTCCTGTATTCAAGAACACCACCCAAACTCGAGGTTTCCGAGCGCATGTCCCTACAAAGAAGTTGAGTTGGAAAGGATCGGCGCTGAATATCCATGGAAACACCCAACCAATGCCGTGCACGACTGATCACATCCACTGGCCAATAGCCTAAACTTTCACTTATATCCACGGCCGGAGGCCCCCCCCAAACCCTCACCCCTACACCCTGCAGGGCCTCACCGACCGCCCCCACGCTCGTGGACCCCTCCTTCAACTCCACGACCATGCGCTTCAGGCTGGCGAAGTCCTCATGGCTTCTGCCGCTGTTTGCCAAGGCTTAAAGTAAAGAGTCCACAACATGTTCATAACCCTAAACCCTAAACGCTAAACCGAAACCCGAAACCCTAAACCCCAACCCCAAACCCTAAACCCTGAACCCGAAACCCATTGGAAGGATGCATGAAGGGCGACAAGCAATCTCGCCTCCCTTCTCGCCTCCCTAAACTTATTTGGCTAACATCTCGCGGCCTTTGAGCCATCGCAACGCATGGCACGCCGTCTGGAGGCATGGATGCTGGTCTGGCAAGCTCCTAGTTAGCACTTCCCGCCTGCTGCCCCAGACCCTTCATTTTGGTTCCAGCTGAGCATTAGCCGTTTCTGCCTGGGGCAGGTTCATTGGCGAAAACATTTAACTATATGAAGCACAGCCTGTACAGTTCCCCCACGGGCAGCTTCTCAAACTTGTTAAGTCCTGCACGCTGACCCTCTCTCTGTGTTCGGAAGAGGCTTCGCTGGAGTGGCCGGCTGCACGATGACTTAGCTGATTCTTCGGCGTTTCGCATCTCTCTCCACCTTGGCGATCAAATCATCCAGTTCTGGGATGACCTGCCCCCAGGCTCAAGCGTGGGAATCCATCACGCCTAACAGAGTCCTAACATTTCCCAACATCTTCTTGCCCAGTGGCCTCCAGCTGAGTGCGTTTGACCTGTGCCTCCAGTTGGCTGATTCTTCGGCGTCTCGCATCTCTCTCCATCTTGGCGATCAAATCATCCAGTTCTGGGATGACCTGCTCAAGTGTGGGAATCCATCGCGCCTAGCATATTCCTAACATTTCCCAACATCTTCTTGCCCAGTGGCCTCCAGCTGAGTGCGTTTGACTTGCGCCTCCAGTTGGCTGATTCTTCGGCGTCTCGCATCTCTCTCCATCTTGGCGATCAAATCATCCAGTTCTGGGATGACCTGCCCCCAGGCTCAAGTGTGGGAATCCATCGCGCCTAACATATTCCTAACATTTCCCAACATCTTCTTGCCCAGTGGCCTCCAGCTGAGTGCGTTTGACCTGTGCCTCCATCTTGGCGATCAAATCATCCAGTTCTGGGGTGACCTGCCCCCAGGCTCAAGTGTGGGAATCCATCACCTAACAGATTCCTAACATTTCCCAACATCTTCTTGCCTTGCGGCCTCCAGCTGAGTGCGTTTGACCTGTGCCTCCAGCTGGAGCACCTTTTGGGGCGGAAGGGCTGAATCAATTTTGCTGTTCTGCCTGACTGCCCCTCAACTCCCGGCTACATCTGGCAAAAATCTCTCAAGAGCGCCAACTTCCTGGCGCGTGGCCATGACAAAGGAGCCCATCCTCTGCACCTGGCTTGCAAGGCTCTGATTCGATTTCGAGACACCGAAACACTCCCGCAAAGCACCGAGCGGCCTCCCCGCCCTGATGAGCTAGCCCATGCCCTAGCTTGGCGATCTGCAAAGTGGGTCTCGTGACCAACTGCGAGCGTGTTTCTGGGCTTCTTAGGTTTTGCTTGTTTGCTTACTTATTTGTCGTTGTCATTTGTTCTTTAGGGGCGGCGGGCGCGCTAGCGGCTAGCGATAATAAATTTCATATCTCCAGCGTCCCTGTGATTGCTGTGATCTGGCTTATCTCTTGCCCAAACGTTCTTTTTGAGTACGTAGAAAGGCTTTGCGGCCTCGCTTCCCAGAAGCCGACGACGCTCCGCCAGCCCACGCACCCTTTCCTCGACCTGACGGTCAAGGACAAGCTACATCGCATTTCTGGGTGACATTCGGCCTGAGGGGCATTGCCGAATGCTCGCACCTTACGTATAGGCGAACGCAGCCTCCCCCTCTGACGATAGCTCTCCAGGCACTGTCGCACCTGGCGGAGTTGCATGCCCCGCCCGAACTGCTAAGCTATCTTTCTTTGCGGCTAGTGCCTTGCAATTTGCTCCTGAACTCGCAATACATTGAGGCCCAGACCACGAAACTGCGCAAAAACTGCTGACAACGTCAAATGTGCAAAAAAACCTGCTTAAGCTAACGCTCAGCAGCTTGAGCCCAGGGTGGCACAACACGCGCGACGGACCTGTATTTGGCTCCCTCCGGGAGATTGCAGAGCAACGCGGCGCCACTTTCCCGCAGCGCTTGCAGAAGGCTGCACTCACTGTTTGGCATGGTACATTTTGGTGGCTGACTTTGTTTGATCCGCTTCGCGTCTCTTTGCAGCAGAAGCTCGGGACAAGAAGTTCCCAGCTACTCACCCCCTCGTGAGGCCTTTAGCGTCGACGGATCTGTTTAAGAGATACCGGGGGGGCGGGGCGAGAGATAAAGGGCTGGCCTCTGCTGCCAGGCCCGAAACTTGGCGCTAAGCTAACGCTCTGCGCTTGAACCGAACACGGCGCAAGGGCAAGCCTGCTCACAAAGCAAACATGTGCAGAATTCAAACTTTTGAACATGAACCGGGGCTTATGATTTGCTGAGGCTCAGATGGACAATCTGGGATCAGAATTTGCTCATTTGTGTTCCCGCATCGCTGTTTCGTTCCAGGCATTCTTCCCTACAAGCCCCAAGACTCACCGAGCCAAGCCGAGTCTCCGCCCGCACCCGTTCCGCGAGCCAGCTTCCCACCTCGGTTCCCTTGATGGCCTTCACCTGGTGTAGGGGATAGGATAAAGGCGGGGGGGGGGGCCTTGGGGATATAGACCCTCTGAATAAGGTCCCTTTTTCAGAGAGCCAGAGGGTTAAGAAGGGCTCCCTTTTAAGGGCCCCCTTATCCTACCTAGGATCCTGGCATTTATCCGAGAATGGGGTAGTAAGGAATCTAGCATTTGGCGGTATATTCGGGGTTACCCCTATTTTGAGAAATGCCCACCTTCTGCTCGGTGGAAGTTGTGTGTTGGGGCTGTGTTGGGGGCTTGGGATTTGAGGGTTTGAGGGCTTGATGGTTTGAGGGTTTGAGGGTTTGAGGGCTTTTCTGGGGTTTTGTATTCGGATTCGCGGCATTTGGGGTTTCAGGGTTTGCGAAGGCCGTGCGCGCGCTTAACCCTCGGATGCCCAACCCTGCAACACGCACAGAGAGTGCTGGGTTAAGGGTTTGAGGTTTAGGGTTTGGGGCCTAGGGTTTGGGGTTTAGGGTTAAGGGATTCAGGTTTAGGGTTTAGGGTTTAGGGTTTAGGGTTTAGGGTTTAGGGTTTAGGGTTTAGGGTTTGGGGTTTGGGGTTTGGGGTTTGGGGTTTGGGGTTTGGGGTTTGGGGTTTGGGGTTTGGGGTTTGGGGTTTAGGGTTTAGAAGGGCCTCTCGCTCCGCTTCCCCCCCCCACCCCCCCGCCTGGGTGAAGTACAACTCCAAGTCGAGGGCTGCCTGGAAGTTTAGGGTTAGGGCTTAGGGCTTAGGGCTTAGGGCTTAGGGCTTAGGGCTTAGGGCTTAGGGCTTAGGGCTTAGGGCTTAGGGCTTAGGGCTTAGGGCGTAGGGCTTAGGGCTTAGGGCTTAGGGCTTAGGGCTTAGGGCTTAGGGCTTAGGGCTTAGGGCTTAGGGCTTAGGGGGCTTAGGGCTTAGGGCTGGGCTTAGGGCTTGGGCTTAGGGCTAGGCTTAGGGCTTATGGGCTTAGGGCTTAGGGCTTCGGGGCTGTTAGGGCTTAGGGCTTAGGGGCTTAATGAGGGCTGGGGGCTTAGGCTTAGGGCTTAGGGCTTAGGGCTTAGCTTAGGGCTTCGGGCTTAGGGCTTGGGGCTTAGGTCTTAGGCTTAGGCTTAGGCTTAGGGCTTAGGCTTAGGGCTTAGGGCTTAGGGCTTAGGGCTTAGGGCTTAGGGTTGGGCTTAGGGTCGCGGGCTGCCTGGAATTTCAGGCCGCGGGACTCTGGGCTCTTGTTGAGGAGCCACTCGTAGGGTTGATATGATCTACCCCCCCCCCCCCCCCCCCCCCCCAACAATTTCACATAAACAACCCATGAACCTCCAAGTATCCCTAAACCCTCAACCCTAAACCCTACTTATAACTACCAAAACAGAACCTCCGATTAGGGGGCAGGGGGGAAGGGGGGGGTTTCTAATCTTCCGGGGAAACCCTAAACCCTAAACCCTAAACCCTAAACCCTAAGCCCTAAACCCTAAACCCTAAACCCTAAGCCCTAAGCCCTAAGCCCTAAACCCTAACCCTAAGCCCTAAACCCGAAACCCGCCTCGGCGGCCCAGCTCGGACTTTGGAGCCCCGCGAGGGTTCGGAGTGCCGCCTCCGCGCTTTCTTTTTTTTGAATTCTTTTTTCTATATATTATTTTGTTTGTTTTTTATCTTTTTTCATTTTCATTTTTACGTCTTTTTGTATGTTTTTTGTGTTTTTTTTCTGGGGGGGGTATTTAGGGAGTATAGGGTTTAGGTATCGAGGGGATTATAGGGTTTAGGGTTTTTGGGTAGGGTTTAGGGCTTTTTGTTGATTTGTTGCTTTTAGGTGGCCCTAACGCCTAAACCTAAACCATTTAGGGTTTTGGGTGTAGGGGCTCCGTGCAGAAGTAGGTTTTGGTAGGCAGGGTTTCGTTGAGGCACGGCCCCGGATATTGTCCAGGGAGGCAGGGATCCCGATTAGGGTTTGAGGGTTTTAGGGTTTTAGGGTTTAGGGTTGAGGGTTTGGGGTTTAGGGTTTCTTAGCAATTGGATCCGGCCCAGCACACCTTTTTGCGGCGGCTCCGCTGTCAAGCGACTACCGAAACCGGCTGGGCAGTGCTAATGGACGCAACATGGGGGGTGTCGTTTTTCACATGCTCCCATCGCCTTACAGGGTTCTAGCATCAGCTATCCACGCTTGATGTCTGAAGGTGTCACCACAACGCTTCATGACTCCGGGCGTCGCTTTTCGGGTGTTCCCATCGCCTTACAGGGCTTTGGGCATTCGTGTCCACCCCTTTCTTACTTGAATGGCTGGGGGTTTTGGCGCTTGCTCATATGGGGGTGTACGAGTACGATATTAGGGGTACCTTATTGGGGTCCCCCTTTACAAGCGGATCCTACTACGATATTATGGGAACCTTATCGGGGTCCCTTTTCACAAGGGGATCCTTCTATTTGGGGGTCTTAGGGGAGTCCTTATTCTCGCAAACCCCCCATATGGCTCACTGGGTCCCAGCGGTCAGGGCTTGTCCTTGGACATGGCCTTGAGCACGCCGGTAAGCACCAGAGGTGCATCCTTTCAACGCGAGGCGCACACACACACACACACACACACACACACACACACACACACACACACACCTATTCTAATCCCCATTGAGGACCTGGGGGCTCGCGTCCCCACACCCCGATTTTTGAGGAACCTGGACCCCTGCTTCCAGATTGGAGTTTTTCGGCCTCGCGCCCAAGCGTTTTGGGGCGTTAAGGGTCTCAGCATGAACCCCAGAACTGATGGGAGGGTCTGGCGAACCTACAGACCAGAACCCCCAAAACGCCCCAAACCCCATTGGATTTCTTGCTTCTTGGAACCTGAAACTTTGGGATTTGCTCCTTATACTTAACAGTCCTTAATCGGGATAAGACTACCCCCTTTGTAACAATCCCTATTCAGGACTGCTAGTATAAGGGGGACCATCCCAACCCTCGTACTTATACCCTCAGACCGAAGCCCTTCTGCTTGGGAGGCCGAAGCCCTGCTGCTTCAGAGCATCGAAAGGGTGCTCGTGCAAAGCGCCGCGCGTGGCGTTGCCTCGGCAACGAAGCGGAGGCTGAGAAGCTGCTCTTGGCATATCAGGGCTGCAGGGGTTTGGGACTTGGGTTTTGAATTAGGAATCCCCCTTATACTAACAGTCCCTCATAGGGATTATAATAGGTGTGACTAGAATCCTTATTAAGGACTGTTACTACAAGGGGGAGCATCCCAAGTTTTGAGTGTAAAGTTTAGGGCAAATTTGGGATTCTGCTGTACGAGGGGGGCAGAGGGGCAGGGCATCACTCCGCAGCTACTTTGCGCAAACAACACCAGCCACGATCTGAAACGCCCTAAACCCTAAACCCTCAAATCTAAGCTGCTAAGCCCTAACAGTAAACCTTGCACCGCCTTAAACAAGCATGTCAAGCACCTACCTAGCCCCCAAAGCCCCAAACCCCAAGTCTCAAGCCCTTGAACCCTTAAACCCCTAAACCCTTACACCCTCAAACCCTGAAACCCTTAAGTATTCCCTAAACCCCAAGAGCCGTATCAAACCCCTAAACCCTTAAATCCCTAAAACCCTTCAAGCTCTGAAACCCTCAAGTATTCCCTAAACCCCCTTAACACCCCTAAACACCGAAACCCCTGAAACCCTTAAGTATTCCCTAACCCCCCAAAACTCCAAACTCCAAACCCTAAACCCTAAACCCTAAACCCTGAACCCTAAACCCTAAACCCCCCCCCCAAAACAGCTCCACTGCGCGCCAAGAAGCCCAGGATGCCCGCGACCTTGGCTGCGGCCGCCGGGTCCGGCTCGACGCTCGCAGCGACCTCTCGAGCCTTCTGCCTCAAAGGGTTTGGGGTTTAGGGTTTGGGGTTTAGGGTTTAGGGTTTGGGGTTTAGGGTTTAGGGTTTAGGGTTTCAAGCGGTTTGGGGGGTGGGTTTTAAGGGGCCTTCAGGTTTTTGGGGAGTTCGTTGGTGGGTGTGGTGGGGGACCTTCTGGGGGCCTCCCAAACCCTGAAGGCCCTGTCCCAAACCTTCAGCCGCCTAAATGCTCCACATCCCAAGACCCTTTGAGCCCTGAGCCGCCCTTAGGGTTTAGGGTTTAGGGCTTAGGGCTTAGGGTTTAGGGTTTAGGGTTTAGGGTTTAGGGTTTAGGGTTCCTGGAAAGGGGTTCCTGGGTTGTGGGACCCCAATGCAAGAAACGAGGCACGACAGCTGCTCTGGCGACTGGATGCCCTCCGCCTGATGAGCAAAAAGGCCATTGGACATCAGAGGGACAGAGCTGTAAACTTGCGATTTTGCAGCATGCACCCCCCCCTTCCCCAGAACTTTTCGAAGAGTTCTTGGGGGGTCACGGCTTCTTTCCTGAAACACCGTCGCCAAGCCCGATGCCCAAAACTCAATCTGCTGCCTCGCAGTAGGCAGCAATCTTCGTTGCATACCTCGTCATGCATGCAGCTGATCTGATACCCCGAGACCCACATGGGCCTCTTCTTTTATGTGCTCCGGGCATCTGTAGATGATGATTCCTGAATTCCTAAGTGGAGGTTATGAGACCTTTCAGCCTCAAATACTTCCTGAAAACTTCCGAATCTTACGGTTTGAGGATTACCGCCCGATATACAATACAGACACACTAAATACGTACCCGATGTGGGTAGAAACTCTACCTTTTCAGACAGCACGTACACCCCATTGTCTGCCCCTAAGCCTTCATCTTATTCAACAAAACGAGACGAAGAAGGCATGGCCCTAAATCTTAGACGAGTAAGGTTTAGGAATGAGCTTTGGCTTAAGTATTAAAGGAATAAGCTTCAGGCATGAGGCTCAGCGAGAAAGGACTTGGGCTTGGGACGAAATCTTAAACGAACAAGGTTTAGAAGCAGGGTCCGACAAATGTTTCCCCCCCCATCTGGCATGCGGACTCCTGTTCATTCAGCACTTCGGTTCGCGAAACCTATCCCATTCAGCGTGTTTAGCTTTCAAGCGAAAGCTTTTTAACTCACAATAACATCGTCGACATGGGGGACTGGCAACATGTTCGCGATTCATATGCTAGGTGCACGCAACATTCGGAAAACCGGCACTGTGGAAATTCGCAGGCCCCATGACAGGCCGCTCTCCTGAAGGGCAAGGAACTCAATGGAGCTTTGGATGGTATCCCGATGCACGACTTGCAACCCTCATTCTAGGTGACTTCAATGCCAAAATTCTGGAAAAGCTTCCTCATGAGATCGGCATACTAAACCTAAACCTAAACCCTAAACCTCATGTAGCATGGGCGTGTGCGTGAGCAGGCGTGGCCACGCTCCGCACCGCGGTGAGGGTGGGGGGTGGGGGGTGGGAGGGCGCGGTGGGGGGGTGGGGGGTGGGAGGGCGGGGGTGGGTGGGGGCAGCATACACATATATTTGTAAAATATACATGTGCTGCTGCTTTGCATCAAGCGTTCTGTCGCGAGCCTGCCCTCCCCGCCCAACCCAGTACATCACACGGGCACGTCGCGTTCCGATGTTCTACACCTACGAGGGGCCTGTCTTGGAGACCTTCTTGCAGCGGAGGGGCTTAAGTGGCAGACAGGGGGCGCCCTGGAAGTTGGAGTTGGAGCGGTATAGATCTATTCCGTTCGCTTAGGGTAGTTTTTGAAGGGGACCACACCTGGCAGCAGGCAAGTGAAGTCCCAGGAACGTGTCGAGGTGGAGCTGAAACAGCCACTGCCCTAAACCCGCCACGAAGTTGCGGCTGGCAGCCAGCCGGGCCAGCCTGGAGAAAGATCCAGGCTTCCGCACTGTTTTTTCCCAGACGCGCCGAAAGCCCCTAGGCCTAAACCCTACACTGCCCTACTGCCCTAAGCCCTGCTTCAGCATGTGGCGCAGACCCTCCTCAAATAGGACAACTGAAGCAACCCTTATCTCCTACCCTAAACCCTACACCCTAAACCCTGAACCCTAAACCCTAAACCCATCTAAACCCTAAGCTCGCAGGATGGCCCAGTGGCAGCTCATTGCTCACCACCGCGCCCACGCCCCTTGCCATGCCAAGGGTCATGTGTGGGTGAACCTCGGCAGAGGACTCCCCACTGCTTTGTGTGACCATACTTGGAGGTTCATGGGTAGCTCTAAGTAGGCTTAGGAGTACCCAATTACCTAAATGGGAGTATAAGTATAGTTGCCATACTGATAAGCCCACTTAGAACTACCCAAGAACCTCCAAGTAAGCTTGCATGATTATTCTGAGCCCCTTGGACATATTTGTAAGTGCATACACTTGTCCAAGTGCATACAGTTCGAGTGCAAAGAGTCAAGTGCATGGAGTCAACGCACGGCAAATCGATGCTTTCGGGCCATCCCTCTTCTAGTCTTGTTTCTCCGAAGATGTGGACCTGTTGGGAAGGGGAACGCCTCATGTTCTGAGGTTTGATGGCTTGTAGGGTTAGGGTTTGGGGTGCTGAGGGCAGTTGCCAGGGCTTAAGCGCGTGCAAGGTGTCGTTGGCGCACTTGGAGTAAAAGTCCCCCAGCTCCACCGGCACCGCAGCGATGCGGCCCTCCTCCCAAACGAACTCGGCCGCGCTCAGCTCAATGCGCTCACCTGCCCGACGCTGGAACTCCTGAGGGGGCGAATCCCCCCGGGTTTGAGTTGAACCCTTCAGCACCCGTAGCAGCTTAGGATTCAACGATGTGAAAAAAAACGTGTCGAGGGAGTCCACAGCTTCACACATGCGGCTCAAAGCTGCCCAAAGCCCTCGTCCCCTTCCTGCCGCAGCTCGCGGATGAATCGCGCGCTGGGGAACTTGGGGTTCCGCCTGGCGAGCTCCTCATCTGTGGCCCCACCGATGAAGAGGAGGGTGACGTGGTACGCGTTCTTCCTGGGCGGCGTTCAGGGCTGTCGGTTTTCAGATGGTGGGCCCTGTTCAAAGGTGTCCACGGATTGCTGATTCTTGAGGGCACTTGATCATGTCACAGGATGTTTCCGTAACTCCATTCCTGCAACTTAGACTGCTCTAACGCCCGAAGCGAGGCCAGTCGGAGGGTTGCGAGATTTCTGCCTGGACGCGATGTGCTCGGCGCATTCTTTAAACTACTTTCACGGTGTCATGAGGGAATCTTAACTGCTCGGACGATGATAGCCATGAGATCAACAAGCATGCGACGACGCTGCTGACGACCAGGAAAAAACAATCGACGACGACGATAACAAGACGAAGAAGACGACGAAGACGACGAAGACGACGAAGACGACGAAGACGACGACGACGACGAAGACGAAGACGAAGACGAAGACGAAAGACGAAGACGAAGACGACGACGACGACGACGGCGACGACGGCGGCGGCGACGACGACGACGACGAGGACGACGAGGACGACGACGACGACGACGACGACGACGACGACGACGACGACGACGACGACGACGACGACGACGAGGACGAGGACGAGGACGAGGACGAGGACGAGGACGAGGACGACGACGAGGACGAGGACGAGGACGACGACGAGGACGACGACGAGGAGGATGACCAGGAGGACTACGAGGAGGACGACGAGGAGGGCGACGAGGACGATGACGAGGACGACGAGGAGGAGGACGATGAGGACGAGGACGAGGACGAGGACGAGGTCGGCGAGAGGGACGGGGACGGGGACGGGGACGAGGACGAGGACGAGGAGGACGGAGGCGCTGGGATGACGAACATGGGGAGGAGGGAGGACGATGAGACGACTTTCAGAGGGACAATGGCGACGACGACGACGATGCTCACGATGATCCTGCTATCATTGTGGACTTTCGCTGCGTTAACCGGAAGCTAACTAAGCCGTCTGTCCTTTTCTTAGACGCGGGTATCCACACAATCTAGCTAAACACTCGGGCAAGCACAAGCGTAGGCGTAGCGGCTGTTCAAGAAGCTATCAACCTGGAGTTCAAGCAAAAGCTAGCTCTCTCTCTCCCACGCCGGCAAACAAATACTTCCAAAAGGGCTGCGCTTCATCACGATGCCGGAACGGCGGGCTTCTTCATAGTCTGTCACAGACTCCCAATGGAGGTTTGCCAGCGCGGCAGCAGTGTTGTTATCCAGCTCCAGCGCCCAGTAATAGACATCCTGGACAGTCAGCCCCGCAGTATCCTTGTGCACAAGTTGTATCTGAGACCTGTGACACCTGGCCAAAAACGACTGCAGAAACAGCAGCACGGCAACGGCCACGGACGCCATGGCCGTCGCCGGCTTTCTACGATGGATTTTGCTTCGCCTAACCGTCTCACCTGTCTGGGACTGGTGGCTGGTTGAGCCAAAGCACGCTCCGAACGGAGTAATGTAAGGGTCGGAACAATTACTAATGGTAGTCCCGGAGGGTCCCCGTACAATCATACTATAAACACCCACAACACCCTAGTCCAATCACTACGACAGGGTATGCGCCACAACTCTGCAGCCGCCCGCAATCAACCACGGTTGACATTCCAAGAATCATCAGAGCACTCAAACCCTCAAACTTTGGCAAACCGCCGCCCAACCTGAGCACTGGCCCAGAGCTCCAAGGCCGTCCTGCACAGGCAGAGAAGATGTTCTACGTGTAGGGCTTTAGAGTTTAGGGTTTAGGATTTAGGGTTTCGGGTTTAGGGTTTAGGGTTTCGGGTTTCGGGTTTAGGGTTTAGGATTGAGGGCTTAGGGGCTTTAGGGCTTGGCAGGGCTTCGGGTTCAAGGGCTTTCTTTGGGAAAGATTCTTCTAAACCAGGTGCTCGGGATCCTAAGTCTCGGGCTCAAGTGATCCTTGTAAAAGGGTTCCACATGTACTGTTCTGCAGACTATGACTCTCTTCCTTTTCCTCTCTCTCTCTCCCTCTGTCCTCTCTCTTCTCTCTTTTCTCTCTTGCCTCTCTCTATTCTAAGAGTATACTCGCTTGGTCAAAACCCTGACACTGTACGACTACATACTCTACACTATGCACTACAACACGTTATGAAACCTCATTCTTCTGGTTAAGGTCCCCGTGCTCAGCCCTGAACCCAAAACACCTCACATCCAACATCGGGTTTTGGGTTTGGGGTTTTGGGTGCAGCGGGTTTGGCCAAGTCAGTCCCGTCATGGAGCTGGAGCATGGCGATCCTCAGCAAGGCGGCTGTCATGGAGCGGAGCACCGGTCCGGTGCTCCCTGTGCTTAGGACTCTGTCTTTCGGGTCCTACATGCGACTTAGGGTTTAGGGTTTAGGGTGTAAGGCTGAGGGTTTAGGGTTTAGGGTTTAGGGCTACTGCAGCTACCCGAAACCTCAACCCCCTATACTGCAAATCCCGAACATCACCCGGACCACCCGCACAAGCTGAAGCCGCAACCGGGCAGCCGCAGGCGGCTCTGCAACCGCACGGCCGCCGCAGCGAGGCCCTTGCGGTGCCCAAGGCGCCCAGAGCTTCGTTTAGGGTTTAGGGCTTTAGGGTTTTAGGGTTTAGGGTTTAGGGTTTAGGGTTTAGGGTTTAGGGTTTAGGGTTTAGGGTTTAGGGTTTAGGGTCTAGGGTCTAGGGTTTAGGGTTTAGGGTTTAGGGTTTAGGGTTTAGGGTTTAGGGTTTAGGGTTTAGGGTTTAGGGTTTAGGGTTTAGGGTTTAGGGTTTAGGGCTTAGGGCTTAGGGCTTGGGGTTGAGGGTGCATTTAGGAGGGTGCAGGCGGTTGTCTGGCTGGTGTGGTGCCGGACTTCTTGGGTGGCTTTGACAGCACCCAAGGGGGCTAGAAAGGAGATAAGGGGATGACATTGGCAATCATTTGGGCTCCTGTGTTGCTTCACGGGCATTTTACAGGCGGTTTCTTAGGGCTTAGGGTTCAGGGGATGAAGGAAGCTGCCAGCCTGGCCGGAGGGGCGCGCTGCCTGGCCATCCGCATGCCAGGGCCACAGCCGAGGCGGCGGGAGCGGGCGCCGCATCTGCAGGATGCTTTGATTCTTTTGGGGTTCTTAAGGGGGGTTCAAGGGGGGTATGTAACCCAAGGTTCCCTATTACTCCCCTTAAGAACCCTATAATTGAAGGTTCGGAGATTAGGCGAGTAGGGTGAGTTAAGCCCGAAGTACCCCCTACAAGCACTTGTAACTTCAGTTTGGGGATGAGGATTTAGCTTTCAGAAGCTTTGCGCGTAAGGTTGCAAGGACAAGCTTGCAAGTGGTGCATGGCTAAGCCAGCATTGATGGCAAAACCGACTGCGCGCCACGTAATCTTCGAAGGAGGTGTAGTGGTGCGGCTGGTCCAAGTTGACCTGCTCATTCTCGACTGAAACAAACCCTAGTTCCTGATCTCTGACCCCTGAACCCTCAACCCTTAACCCTAAACCCTGAAGGCCCTGAACCCTAAGCCCTAAACCCTCAACCCCAACCCCTCAAAGCCGGAACCACACGAACCGTGGGCCCAAGATTTGGGGTTTAGGGTTTAGGGTTTAGGGTTTAGGGTTTAGGGTTTGGGGTTTGGGGTTTAAGGCTTAGGGCTGAGGGGTTTAAGGCTTAGGGCTTAGGGCTTAGGGCTTAGGGCTTAGGGCTTAGGGCTTAGGGCTTAGGGCTTAGGGCTTAGGGCTTAGGGCTTAGGGCTTAGGGCTTAGGGCTTAGGGCTTAGGGCTTAGGGCTTAGGGCTTAGGGCTTAGGGCTTAGGGCTTAGGGCTTAGGGCTTAGGGCTTAGGGCTTAGGGCTTAGGGCTTAGGGCTTAGGGCTTAGGGCTTAGGGCTTAGGGGTCTTCTTCGGGCAAAGTGCCGCCATGTCATACAGGGAGATGTTCCACAAGGAGCTTTCGAAGAAGTCCTCAGGTTTCTACGTCCACAAGGGGGCAGACGAATTAGGAATGTCAGGAAACCCACGCAACCCCCAGGAAAATTAGACCCCCCCCGCCGCCCACCCAAAAGAAAAGGGGGTACCCTTTCTTGGCAAATACACATTCCATACAGGGCATCGTAGGAATTCCCCCCCCCCCCCTCGAGCCATTGCTCTTCGTCTTTTTTTCTTTTTGCCGGAATTGGGCAACGCACAAAGCAGGGGGAACCACAAGGGTGGTTGAGGACCCGAAACCCCTCCCTTGTAGGGTTTAGGGTTTAGGGTTTAGGGCTTAGGGTTTAGGGCTTAGGGTTTAGGGCTTAGGGTAGATCCCTCAGAACGCCATGGGGACACGCAAACCCAAACCCTCAACCCCGAACCCTCGAAGCCCTAGCACACAGATACCTTCATTGCTGCACTGACCTGCGCCGAGCTTCGTAGGTATAGTAGGGTGCATGCAGGAGGACCTCGATGGAGGCGGTCATGGCGCTGGTGATCTGCGTGAAAGGAGGCGTGCTTAGGGCCAAAGGTCTCAGGATTTGCAGGCCGGCGCAGTCCTTCTTTGGCTACGGGTAGGAACCACTGCGAGCCTTACTACTCACAGCGCCCCTCGACTCAGGAGCCCCCTGCCCCCCTGCCCCCGCGGCCACGTGCGTGCGCCTCATTGCGGAGGTCATCGTTGCCCATCAACTGAAAACCAGTGAGGATGGCATACTCCTTGGAGGGCGCTGAGGTGTCGTGCGTGCAGGAGCCGGAAAGCATAAGAGCCCAAAACCCGCCATCGTGTCTGTCCAAAGCCAAGCAGTAAACACTAACAACTTCTACTCCCAGACTCTACCCCGTGGGCACATCATCTGAACACCCTAAACCCTAAACCCTAAACCCTGAACCCTAAAAGCCCTCAATGGAACCAGTTGCAGCCCTGCTGCCAACGCAATGAAGCCGTAAGGGCAGTCAAGGGGCTGCCAGGCACCTCTGAATGGCGCCCGGGGCTGGAGCTTTTGGACCCTGGGTTGAGGGTTTAGGGTTTAGTAGGGTTTAGTAGGGTTTAGGGTTTAGGGTTTAGGGTTTAGGGTTTAGGGTTTCGGGTTTCGGGTTTAGGGTTTAGGGTTTAGGGTTTAGGGTTTAGGGTTTAGGGTTTAGGGTTCAGGGTTTAGGGTTTAGGGTTTGGCTTTAGGGTTCAGGGCTAGAAAAGCACCCCTGAACCTGGAATCCGGACTGAACCCCAGCCAGCCCGCGCAAAACCCACCAGGCCCCCCCAACCACTTCACCAGACCAAGGGTGGGAGGCACGGGGGCGAGGAGAAGAACTTAGTACGCAGCCGAGCAACCCCACCACCGAGGGTGGGGGACAAGAACCGCACTTTAAAAATCGAAGCCCACACGATCGCAAAAGCCATGAACCAAGCAGGTAACAAGCAAACCTGAGCTCAAACCCTACACCCAGGAATCCAGATCTCAAGAACCCTAAACCCGGACCTTCAAGCCCTGAAGCGCCACAAGTCCTCAACCCTAACCCCCCATGCCCTATAGACCCCTCAACCTGAAATCCCACACCCAAAACAACCCTAACACCCCATGTTTTGGGTTGGCCCTATGAACCTTAACCCTGAACTCTAAACCCGAAACCCTAACCCCCCTAAACCCTAAACCCTAAACCCTAAACCCTAAACCCGAAACCCTAACCCCCCTAAACCCTAAACCCTGGAGTCCCTTCGACTCCGACCCTGTCGGACTAAGCACCTGCACGGCCCTGCTGCTCGAGAAAGTCTGAAAAGCCTGCAGGGGTAGCCCTAAACCCTAAACAGGGTTTAAGGTTTAGGGTTTAGGGTTTAGGGTTTAGGGTTTCGGGTTCACCCTAAAACCCTAAACCCAAACCCACTTAAGGGGTAGCAGGTGGGAGTTCGAGTTGTCTTGTTTACGGCGGTTTGAGACCTTATGGGCTTGGGGCCCTGAGAGCGCTATGGGCCTTGAGGACAAAAAAAACCTCTGTAGAGCTCCACGGCTTGACATGAGCATGGGCTGCGAGCTGTGGAAGGGCCACTCGGAAGTTGGAACCCTAAACCCTAAACCCCCTGGAGAGGTTTTCAACCGGCAGCTCGACTTACACATCCAAGACGACCGGAATCTGTGGCTGGGCCCTCGGCTGCTCCTCGACGATGTCTCCACGCCGAAGAGATGTGCCAGCAACATCACCTGGCAAAAAGGATGAGGGTTTAGGGTTTAGGGTTTAGGGTTTAGGGTTTAGGGTTTAGGGTTTAGGGTTTAGGGTTTAGGGTTTAGGGTTTAGGGTTTAGGGTTTAGGGTTTACAGTGTCAGGGCAACTTACCTACTTGCCACAGATGTCAAGCCCTTGCCATGCGCTTTCTCAAGAAGCCTTCAAGCCCAAAAGTCCGTGAAGCACTCTGTGAAGCAGATCACCGCGGCGGCGGTTTAGGGTTTAGGGTTTTTTGGTTTAGGGTTTAGGGTTTAGGGTCTAGGGTCTAGGGTCTAGGGTCGAGGGTCGAGGGTTTAGGGTTTGGGGTTCATGGTTTAGGGTTTAGGGTTTAGAGTTTAGGGTTTAGGGTTTAGGGTTTAGGGTTTAGGGTTTAGGGAGGCACCTGTCGGGTCATCCAGTCATCCACGCCAGCCGAGATCTGAGACAAAGCAGGCGTGGGGGGATTCAACTTCCAGCTTTCGGTAGCTTCAGTAGTAGGGGATAGGATTAGGGGGACCCTTGGGGATATAGACCCTCTGAATAAGGTCCCTTGTTCAGAGAGCCAGAAGAAGGTTAAGAAGGGGTTTCCTTTTAAGGGTCCCCCTTATCCCACCTAGGTAATAGCTGCCAGCCCTGGATTACCTGCAACGCAAGGCGCGCTTCAACTTAAGCGGCGTGACCCCAGAAAACCGGCACATCCCACCATCCCAAAACATGGCTTCCTCTGTCATCCCCTTACCCCTAAACCCGAAGATTATGCCGTATGATCCTAGAGACCTTATTGGCAAGGGGGATCCTATGACACGAGGCTGTAGAGGGGCCCCTTTTGTGGCTTGGGACCCGAGACCTTGAACCCTAAACCCCAAACCCCAAACCCCAAACCCTAAACCCTAAACCCTAAACCCCAAACCCTAAACCCTAAACCCTAAACCCCAAACCCTAAACCCTAAACCCTAAACCCTCGCTCCTGAATCGTGGTGTGCCACGGAAGCTCTGCTTGGAGATCCTGGGCCCCAGGTAGGGACAAGTCCAGCCTCGGTGGGGGCTCCCAGCATGCAGGGGTTCAGGGTTTTTAGGGGTTTAGGGTTTAGGGGTTAGGGGTTAGGGTTTAGGGTTTAGGGTTTAGGGAGTTGAGGGCTTCGCCCTACTTGAAACCCCCACAACCCTAAACCCCCAACCCTCCGAAACACTGTAGCCCTGGGGTTCCCACGTTCATTACGAGGGCCTAGTAACGAACCCGGCAAATGCATGGGCGTACCTACGTCCCTCACGGGCTTATTTTGGGCTTCCTTAGTCTGTTGTTGAGGGGGCCTTGGTACAATTACTTGCGGCCTTCTCTCTGCAGCAACTGAACCGATGCTACGAGCAAACGTCACGTCTTCCCACCAGACTCTTGTGTCAGAACTTAAGGGTCGCTGTTGCGCTGCACGCAGATGCGTGTGGTTTCCTGCAATCGTTTGGAAGACAGGCTGGTCACAGCTCGTGCGCACGGATGTTCGCCTGTCTTCGGTTGCGCTGCTTGGAGCTTCTCACACCTTGTTTTGGCCTTGGGCTGCGGGGGTACGACCTGGAGCTGTTCCGCCACTTTTATGTTGGGATTTGCGACGTGGCGGAAGAAGACCCCTGTCAACCCTCGCAAGGCGTGTCCTTCGATCCCACGCATGCGTGGCAAACCGTCGGACATCGTCGCGCCTCCAAGACCTTTCCTTAAAACCAAAGTGCCTCAGCATTATTATAATTATTGTCCGTCGCATTATGTTGTATAACTACATCTCTCTTCCCTACCTTCTCCCAAAATTTGCTCCATCGCAACGAAAGTTACTCAGTCGCAACGCACATATTTGCCATTGCTGCTGCACGGACTTCTCACAGCCACGCAGCTTGTTGTGGAGATTGTACGCAAGTTGAAACACTTCCACCTGCGGGCAAGATAAACCAGACTGGCTCCACGCAGGCTCACCGCTCCGGTCTCACTCTCAGCATGTCATTCCTCAAGCCTACGTAGCCGTGAATGCGAGTGACTCAACCTTGTGTCCCCTTTGTTAACCCGGTAGATTCGCTCCAAGTGCAAAGCCGCTCCGCTCGACCTCAACAGAAATTTGGGATTGGCACACACAAAAAATTAGACTGTATGCTGTACAATATGTAGCAGACAACACCATATACACTATACAATCTTCTATATTTATCTAGCCATCTATCTATCTATCTATCTATAGCCACGTCAATGCTCACAGCCAAGGCCAAAGAAAAGTTTACAAGCCAAACATGAATACATAGTGCCTGCGCCACCCCAAACCTCGAACCCTGTGCTGCACTCTACACTGCCGAGTTGTCGATCCATAAATGTTCGACCGGAAACCTTCTCGTAAGCCCTCATCGCCTCCTCCCAAGGTTTCCGAGCCACCAACTGGAAGAACTCCTGGATGGGAATGTAGGGTTACGGCGTTGCAGCATTGAGTCGCCACAAAGCTCCTGGAAGATGTCGGAGTGCTGGCAGTGGAGAAACTCTCGGAAACCTGCACGGTGTCAAGCTGTCTCACGAAAAAGGCAACCATTTGCACAAGGCTACGGGTATCTAAAGAGCAACACCACCGCAACAATCAGTTGAGTCGGCACTTCAAACTCGAAAGCGACTACGAAAGTATGTGTGCTCACAAAAGATGTTTATTTTGGTTTCCCTGCGAACAGGTGGGTGGTTGTCAAAATCATGATCCCTTCTGAGGCAACCCAAAAAATTAGGAGCCGTATTATGATAGGGATCCATAAAGGGCCCAGAATTTGGACAACCACCCAGGTCTGTAGCCGTCGAGAGGAGCATGTGCGCCTCCACCCCCGCGTCGCCCGCGCAGCTGCGAGGCCTGCGCGGAACTTCACAGGGGAGAGCCCGACGTCATCAAGTGGAGGTTTTAGGGTTTAGGGCTTAGGGCTTAGGGCTTAGGGTTTAGGGTTTAGGGTGTAGGGGTGTAGGGGTGTAGGGGTGTAGGGTTTAGGGTTTAAGGAGGTGACTTTACGAGAAGAAAAAAAGGAGAGAGACCTCTTCAAGACGCCCTGGTGCGTGCCTGTGACTCTGTCAACATCAACCAGGTTCCTCCACAACCCACCCCATCTCTCAAAGCCAAACTCGCAAGAAGCCCTGGAGGCTTTAAAGGTCTTGCTCCACCGCCAAGAGACACGTTTCACACGTCGAACTTAAGCCTGCGTTTACGTCGCGAATGCACCCCACCCGACTCCCGAGCCTCTGACAGCTCCGCAGTAGCTGGGCAAAGAAGAAGTGCTGCCGCAGGGGCCGCCCGCGCATAGCAGACCATTAGAAAGCCATTACAGTTTCGGAGGCTATGCTAACATCCGGGGGTTTTAGGCTGGGCGTGTTTATCGCTCTCGGGTTGCGACCCACAAAAAAGCCCCCTAAAGCTGGGTGGGACAATGGCTGCTTGCGAACCCGGCGCGGAGCCGCGTGCATTCTTCGGCCTTTAGAGCTCGGCTTAAATTTTGCGGCTCTCGTTCAGTCTCATCTCTCTCATTCTCGGACCAATCGGGGGTATGGACAATGGAGTCTTGCGCTTCAAGGCGAAGCTTTGGACTGGAAGCTTTGGGGCTTGCAGATGAAGAGGGCGACACAAAACAAAGCTTTTAGAGCCCTTTTTCGTCGTGAAGCTTTCTCCATGAAGGCATCTTTTGGAGGACGCAACGGAGTCTTTTAACTCGGCTGATCTGTCGTAACTCACGGTCCGAGTGCCTGCGGGCGGGGGGGCGCGACGACCTAGTCTGCTGAGTGCTTGCACGGCTCAAGGTTTCTGGCGATTTGCAGATGGCCATTCCTTAGGATACCCTGCATATAGGGCCCACATGGTTGAGAGAAGGGATCCGGGCAGGTGTCGCTGGGCTTTGTGCTGCCACGGGTATTGTTAACGCCCCCGCAAGGGGAAGAAGCGACACTGGACCACTTCATCAAGTCACTCTCGGCCGCCAGCAGAATCCTGTTCTTGCTGATCGAAGCCGAGGTGTCAGTGCTGAGGTGTTCCTCCAGAACCATAAGTTTCAACCTTGCGGTCTACGCCACAATCGGCTGCGCCAAAATCTTCTGACAAGCTGCCCCCTTTGGGCAGCGATCAGAAGCAGCAAGATCGACCATCAACTCGCAAGCCGGCCGGGCCTCAAGTCTACAAGCTTTGCAGCTTTACAAAGTAGATCATGCTCTCCTAGAAGCACCATTCATAGCCTTTCCAAAGACCATGCAAAGAGTGCCCAAGCAACGTCGAATCGATACGTGTTCTGCGATGTCAGTTCCGGGGCAGTTCAGGACTGCTGCTGACAGCTCCCAGGACAGAGGATAACAAGTTCAGTGACTCAGGGTTTTGCCGGCACAGCATGTCCCATGGAACAGTGTCTGCAATCCATCCCAGAAAAACCTGCCTCCGCAAATCCAGGGAAATAACGGTCATCGTTGCCATACTGGTTCTTCGCAGAGACATGGGGGCTTCCGAAATTAGGGGTACCTCATGGGGGGTCCTTTTATAACGGAACCCTACTATGTGGGGGACCATATTTAGGGTCCCGTATTTTCGTAAACCCCACATGCTTAGCAGCATTAACAGGGAGCAGTGAATGACTGCCATACTGGAGCTGTGCTACATCTACTTTCCTGCGGGCGCAACCAGCAAGGCAACTTAGCCTGCAAGATCCCACAGAGCCGTCAGTGGGTGTTAGGGTTAGGGCTTAGGGCTTAGGGCTTAGGGTTAGGCCTTTTCTAGACTCGTTAGGTTGGCTTCGAAAGGAAAGGTCGGTGGCAACACAACAGCTTGAACAACACTCACACGTCGACGATGACCACAACAGCCCTCCAGAAACTTAGAATGGCATTCCCCACAAGCAAACCTGTTGCTGGCCCCATGGTTTCCTTCCCTAAACCCTAAACCCGAAACCCTGAACCCCAAATAAACCCGAAACCCTAAACCCCACAACCCTGAAGCACAAAACTCTTCCAAGACTTGCGGTGACTGCAAGGGGTTTCATGAGCTGTTGGCTCAGGGATCTGCAACTCTGCTCAAACGCAACGCCTTTGACGTTGCACGCAGGGGGCCGCTCCGAGAGAGCTTTAGTTGATCTTAGTTCGCCTTTGCTAGGTAGAGCACCCCTAAACCCTAAACTCTAAACCCTAAACCCTAAACCCTAAACCCACTGGAAGCTTCATGGACATGGGCATGTCCCCCCTCTCATACCCCAAATCGGATAGAATCCCCCAACTAGGATGGAATACCCACAAGGGGACCCCAAAAAGGGGTACCCCCCAACTTTCGGAAACCCCCAAACGGGCATCGGAATGTCTACGACTCATGAGGCCCAGGCCGAAGGGAGATGCTGGAACTTGTGTCTTAGGTTGCCCGTGTCGAGCAGATTACAGCAGAACATGGGTGGCTCCTCTCCCTAAACCCTAAACCCTAAACCCTAAACCCTAAAGCGCTTAGGGCCCGGGAAACATGGGGCGCCCGCTCTTCCAGGGCGTGCTTGTGCACACTGGTCACTACAGCCATTGTACAGCTCCCGGCTCCCACTGAAGCGGCCCCAGAGCTCTCAGGCTCTTATGTGCAGCCGTCGAGATTCTTGAAATCCGACAGCTACCATCGGTGCAACTGCTTTGCAGCCCTGCGCTCATCCCAACTAGCTCAGGTGTGTATGGGATCCTGGGCGCGAGGGTGCCCCAGCCTGCTCGCGCACGTTGTGTGAAAGTTCAGGGCATCGGGGAGCACACAAGGCTGCTGAAAATGTCCTGCACCTTACCGCTGCTTGGGGCTTAGGGTTTAGGATCTAGGACAGCCCTAGAAGTCCGAACGTCACTGATGACACGGCCCTTCACTTTTGCTATGATCACTCACCTGTACGCAATCATTGCTACTGATGAACCCTCCCGAATAGGGAAGCACTACCCTGTTCACCCTCTATGAAGTCAGGTGTGCCGGGCCATTCAGTGGTGTTCCCTATTAAGTCAAGTCTTCCGGGTGCCGCCAGAATATTTCGCGCCTGGGTGCCGTTTTCTTCTCTGTAAGGGGCCCCAGAACCCCATGCCGGGGCGAACCTTGGCGGCTTCTCACATCTCCACCTCTCCTGAAGAAGGCGTCTGCGGGATTTAGGGTTTAGGGTTTAGGGTTTAGGGTTTAGGGCTTAGGGTTTAGGGCTTAGGGTTTAGGGTGTAGGGCGGAGGGGCTTAGGGGTTCGGGGTTTGTGGGTCCAAGGCTTTAGGGGCTTGGTTGCTGGCCGCCTGGACCTGCGCACATGTGGATCGTACAAGGCGTATCGAATGAGCGAGTGAGTGGGTGCTGTTGCTGTTGTTGCTGGTGGTGCGGTTGCTGCAATTGCTGCACTTGCTGGACTAGCTGCAGCTGCCGCCGCCGCTGCCGCTGTTGATGCTGCCGTTGTGGCAGCTGCTACTGCTGCTGCTGTGGGGGTTGCCGTCGTATTCGTTGCCGCGGCGGCCATGGTCGTGTGAAGGTCGTTCTTCGTTTTCAACGCGCAGTTGTTGCACTAGCTGTTCTTTGGACATGGAACTCATGGAACCATGTTTTTGCAAATCAACAGAGGATCCGCACTAAACAAGTGGTGGGCAAGAAAAACATCTTACTAAAGCCTCGAGATGAAGGCGAAAGAGCGCATCTTTGCTGCCACCGCCACCAGTGAAGGACCAGGAACGCTAAGACAGCCGACAGAAAAGAGAAGGAGGAAGCGAGGGGAGAAGAGAAAGCTGGGGGGCAAAAGCGGCTAACAGCCCGGCGTCGAGGCTGAAAGCATCAGCACCGTGTTTGGGCTGTCTGGTCCGGTGGAAAGGTTTAAGCAGTGCCGAGGTTGCTCTAACACGCCATACACCTACTCAAGTGGCTGCGTGGCTCACTTACGGCAAAAGCCCATTCTGCCTGAGACATGCGGTTCTTGTCTAAACCCTGTAAACCCTAGACCCTAAACCCTAAGCCCTAAACCCTAAACCCAAACCCTAAACCCAAACCCTCGAAGCAGAGTGCATGCCAAGTCTCCCTTGGTGGCAGCCTCTTCCTTCGTCGGCTCGTCGGCTTCCGCGGGGATCGCGCCGACCTTCCCGCAGGCTTCTGGCTGCCGCTGTAAAATGGTTCCAAGGGAACCCTAAACCCTAAACCCTACACCCTAAACCCTAAACCCTACACCCTAAACCCTAAGCCCTAAACCCTAAACCCTAAACCCTAAACCCTAGCCTGACCACCGCCGTCCTGATGCTTCTCTACCAAAAGAACTGTTTGACGACACAGCTCAAACGGATAAACATACACTGGCTAGCAAGCAAGTATGGAGCGGCAGAGACCTTGCTGAGATACCTTTGGCCCTTGGCACACTATCCCAGATGGGGGGTTTACGACATTAAGGGATACCTTTTCGGGGTCCTTTTTTATAAGGGGGATCGTGCTGAGCGGGGGGTCTATTTTGGGGTTCCCCATTTTCGTAAACCACCGAATCCTGTTCGGAGCCCAGGCAGTGGAACTCCTGAAACCATACCGGAACTCCAACCAGTTTAAGCCCTCCACCTGTCTCAGTCGATCCATGAACTCCTTGTCTCCCACCTGCGATGACCTCAGGCACTCAAACTACGTGAGCGTTGTGGCGGGTGCAGTGGTAGCATGCTTGTAGAGGTTCGACACGTCTATCCTTGTCCATCCAAAAAAGTCGACAGCAATTCAACGCAAGATGACCAAATTGCTTCAGCCCCGAAACGCAAGTGGAGGATTGGAGGATGCCCCCACCAAACATCAAAGCGCAGCCCAAGAAACGCGAATAGTGCAAGGGGGCATTGGCTCGAGAGCTGTATGCTAGGGTGGCTACAGGCGGCACTGAACATCGAAACCACCCATACCCAACACATCTAAACCCCAATGAACGCACCGGTTCAAGCGAAGGCGAAGAAAACATTACCAAATCCGAGTTCCCCAACGAACGCTGTGGGCGGAGCGCCTTCTAGACAGCACCAAAGCATGGTACAAACTCAATTTCCCGAAGGAACGCTAGGGTCAACCTGGTCCTGGCAAAGCAGCTGAAATCCAGTGTTCGTTTGGAATCCCCAATGAACGCAAGGTGATTACAACAATTCGCTTGCCATCTTCGGCATACAGCACCACCAGGCTGTGCGTCCCTACATGTGTCGCACCCCTTGGTTTCATGCGCATGCTACGGGCTCGTCTTCAAGAGAGGCGCCAGCACTAGCTGTGCACAGGGGGTTGAGAAGCATTACAACAGCGGTTGCAAGCGGTGCTTGAACAACCAACCTGCAAGGCCACAATTGGTTTTGTGTGTTTTTGTAAGGCTTTCAACATCATATGTTTGGGCATGTTGGAGCCTACCTGATACGTTGTTTCTAAAATCTCAAAGTTCCCAAGTGACCGCATCTCGGGGTGCCTTGTTGGAGCCGATTTGGGATTCATGACGTTTAAGGTCATCTCCGAGTGACCGTGCCTTTGGTGGGGATCTTTGTGGAGCCTTTCTGAAGCCTCCGTGGGATCCTTTTGGAGCCTCCCTGAAGCGTTGTTTGGATTCTGAAAGCCTTTTGGGGAGCCTTGTTGGAGCCGATTTGGGCTTGGGTTTTAGGGTGAATATAAGTTCCCAAGTGACCGTGCCTTTGGGGGGAATCTTTTTGGAGCTTGGGAAGTTTGGACAACCCCAGACGAACGACGGCACCGTTGCGGCAATGACCGAACACACCTACCGAGGCGCACGTACCGAGCGTTCTATCTTCGAAGCCCCGGGTGGTTGTGAGTAGACCGAACTGCACGTACTGAGGTTTTCTGGCGCAGGTAGATCGATATACTTGTTGCTCCGTGTGACCGATGCCCCGATTACCGGAGATGCGTTTTGAAGGCATACGCCCATTTTGGGGTCCGCCTGGCCGTTCCACGATACATATCCACGATGCCTGAACAAACAGACCTGTCTGGCAAAGGTCTTTTAGAGTAAGGAGTGCGTAAGGCGCGCGTAAGCTGCCCGTAAGCTGCAGCGGTCTCCGTAAACCAAGGCAAGCACAGCCGCATTGGTATTTAGAGCTTAGAGGAAAGCTTGAATCGTTGTGTTCTGTTCCAGTGCGCCAGCCGACGAATTCTCCCGCGTTGGTCAAGATAGCTGAGTCCCTTGTGCTATGATAGAAGTATCGTTCTCTCGCGTTTCTCATGATAACTGCGTCAGTTGTGCCAAACTTACGCAGTGTGCTGGCCCATTTTTCAGGACAGTTGAATCCATTGTGTCTTGAACTCCTTGATCCAGCACGTTCTCCCACGTACGTCCTGATAGCTGAGTCACCTGTGCTATGCATTAGGACTTTGCTCGACCGAGCGAGTTTTCCCGCTTGTTATGATAGCTGAGTCGATTGAGCCATATTAGATGATTTCGCTCGACCCAGTGTGTTCTCCCGCGCTTGTCAAGCTAACTGATGAGTCGTTGGTGCTATGAATCAAGGTTCTGCTCGACACATCGTGTTCTCCTATGGTTGCCATGATAGCTGAGTCGCCTGTGCTATATGTTCAGCTGAATCGCTTGTGCCATACATTAGCGGACTCTGCTCGACCAGCGTATTCTCCCGCATTTGTCAGGATAGCTGTTTCCCTTGTACTATGACTGAAGATTCTGTTTGACCCAGAGTGTTCTCCCGTGATCGTCATGAAAGCTGAGTCGCCCGTCTATACATTGGGACTTTGCTCGATCCAGAGAGTTCTCCTGCGTTTGTGATGATATCTGAGTCGCTTGTGCATTTTAGAAGATTCTGCTCGATCCGACGCATTCTCTCGCGTTTGTCAAGATAGCTGAGTCCCTTGTGCTATGATTGAAGATTCTGCTTGACCCAGCGCATTCTCCCGCGTCTGTCATGATAGCTGAGTCACCTGTCCTACGTGTTAGGGCCCTGCTCGATCCAGTGCGTTCTCTCGCGTTTCTCATGATAACTGCGTCACGTGTGCCATATTTGCGCAGCGTGCTACGTTACAAACCCGCTTACCCCCAATGAACGCTGGACGGTAACGCCTTCCATGTTTTTTTCTCCCCAATGATTTGCATCAGAAACAATGACCGGTTTAGACTTCCACGGTTCACAGTACAACTACCCTCAACCCCAAACCCTAATCCCAACATACAAGTCAGCTGTCAGACTGTGCAGGGCATGTTCTGGCACCTGAGTCTGCCCCAGAGCCTGTGTGTGGAGCCGAGTTGCACGAAGCGCTGCACTCTGGGGTGCAGCTTAGCCCAAACTCCTGCACTCTCTCCACAATTCTCCACACTTAGAGCTCTTGCATTCCGCCAGGAGCTCAGGCATTTGGTGCTTCGGAGGCTTTGGCTTGAAGCTCGGAGCCCCAAACCCAAACCCACCCAAACCCAGGGTCCGGGGATGTACAGCAAGATGCGCCCAGAGAAGATCATGAGGAAGGTCCACCTCAAGCTTTTTGGCTTATTGCTTGTGCTTCAGGCTCGCATGCAGTTGCTCTGCTGCGGATACTTTGCCATGTCTTGCCATTGTAGCATCACTCCAACATGGCCTTGTTTGGAATGCTGAGGTACAAAGTGTTTGTGGAGCCAAGGCACACCATCAAGGCCCCCAGAACACCGACCTCGATCTTGTACGTGGTGATCTGCAGCAGGATGCAGACCGTGGACGGGACGGCCTGCATGTAGTCGCCCCATTCAATGTCCTTCACGCCCTCGATCATGAAGACGCCCACCATAACCAATGCAGGTCCAGTGGAGAGCGTGGGGATTGAGGAGAGCAAGGGCGTCAGGAAGATGCAAATGAAGTTCAGGAAGGCAATGGTAAGCGCAGTGAGGCCGGTGCGGCCACCCTCGTACACGCCGGCCATGGATTCGCCGTACGTCGTGACAGAGCTGGTGCCCAGGAAGCCACCCACAAAGGTTCCCACGGCATCCGCCATGAAGGCGGCGAAGCAGCCGGGAAAGGTCTCCGGCTTCGACGGGTCGACCAGCCCGCTGAGGTCTGCTGCGGCGTACAGGAAGCCCATGGTCCCGATGAAGTCGATGTAGAGGAGGGTGAGCAACCTCAGTGCTGGGGTCTGCAAGTTACAAGTGCCAGGTGCCAGTTGCGCAAACCTGCTTGAACTTGTGCTGTGCCAAGCAACGGGTTCCAGAAGCCGGCCCAGTCGCCAAACCCGGACGTGTCCCACGCCAGAATCGTGCCGCCGGAGACGTCGCCGTTCACGCAATTGGTGCCATTTGCGTCCTGAGCTTTAGACAGAAGGCATAGCCAAGTCAGGGGTGGTTGGGGCCTTTTAGCAGCTTTGCAAAGGAATGAGCTCAACCTCCAACACCTCTGCAGTGCATTTGCCGCCAAGTGCGGGCTAGAAGCGCAGCCGGCCCATCCAGCGAAGGGAGGCACCAACTCCCCCGCGATGTCCACGAGCGGAACGGAGGCAATGGCACTTGGGGCACTGAACGTCTTCCTTCGGGCCGCTTGTGTGAGAGTATGTGAGACCAGAGTGCCCAGTGCGCAGTCTTTCAATATCCTGTAAATAAATTCATAATTCAACTGCATGACCGCACCTATGACGATCCTTTTGCAGGTGTGCGCCTTCAACCAGCGCCAGATGTTTGTGCATGTGCGTGTGTGATGCCAACAGTTTAGCCAAAAGAACTTTATGCGGCGGCTTCTTGAAAAGCATGATCTCGGACTATCTGTACACAGCCAAGGGTCGGGATGCGACCAGCCCCGCCCAGGCAACCTTCTCCAAATCCATCGACCAGCAGGCTTTCGGTGGCGCGGTCCTGGTAGGACATGCCAGTCCTGGCAAAAGGCTGTTATGGCACCAAAGCCTCAAGCCTCTAGAGGCTGGGCAAGACATGCACTCAAGTGCACAAACTTCCAGTGTGAGCAAACCATAAGATTTCATAAGATTGCTATACCCCTTGGGAGGTCCAGCAACCCGTCTCCACGAGCACGGCCCCGAAGCACATTGGGTCGAAGCCGCCCAGCATGTGCATGCATGAGTCTTGGCAGCCACCCTTGAAGGTAGAGTCGCGGCCTGCTGCAATGCCCTGCCAGTAGAGGCTGCCGCTGTGGGTCTGGCTAGTGCCGCCGTTCGTGATGGTAAAGACCCCGCCGGTGTGGGACACAGAGGCAGTGGACTCAAAGGTGTAAGTGCGGACATTGTCCGTCACCGTCAACTTCCCTTCTCCGGGCACAGTGAAGGGGTTGTTGCACGTAGGTTTTGGGTAGTAGCCGCCTCCGGGCTTGGGATACCACTCCACACCTCCTGCAGCCGGCTCCGGATAGGAAACGCTGCCAAGGCAGCACATGGGCTTGTACGAGAACTGCTCCACCGCTGCTGCATCCAAGATCCAGCAGAGGACTGCGCTGAGGATGATGGCAATCATCACGGCACCCTTCACGCGCAGAAGAATCAACAGGGCCATGACGCAGAAGAACGCGATTCCAATCCAGGTGCGCGCAAAGTGCTCGCCAGTCAGGGTCACGAGGTCCACCAGCACTGCCGGGTGGTCCCTGACGATGTCGATGCCGTTGCCCGCTTGCAGTCCGATGTGGGCCAAGAACAAGCCGATGCCCGCCATGGTGGCCTTCATCATCCATGTGGGGAAGACCTTGAAGACGTAGCGCCTGAGGTCAAGGGCAGACATGATGATGAAGATCACGCCCTCAATCGTTACGGCCATCATCACTTTTTTCACGGCAGTCTGCGTTCCCTTGAAGCCCACGATGGTGTAGGCGAAGTAGGCGTTCATGCCCATGCCGGGCCACAGACCAAAGGGCAAGTTCCTGAGACGGCTCTCAAAGCCTCTGGGTGTACTGAACCTTACTGGCCTAGGGTTTAGGATCTCGGGCTCCGAGTGCAGTGCTTAGGCAGAAGCGTGCGACATCGGCTGAACAGTGAACCATCCCGCTCCTGTTTGACTGAGACTGACGCTCAGTAAGGCATGCGTGAACTTCGGAAACACTACTCAAATAATTCGGAACCTGGGTGGAAGGGCGTCTTGCTGCCTATGCATCGCCTGAGCACCGCAATCTTGAACTGTAAACGCAAACCTCCTTCTCTGTCCAAAGCTCGCCCAAAGCGCCATGATCAGCGTCGCAATGCAGCTCGACATGGCCGTAGCGAAGACGAGGCCCTCGAAATTCCTTGGGCGCCACTGGGGATTCTTTCTACGATCTAAGACGTCAGCCGAGGATTCCCCAGCAGCCCTGGGTCCCTGAAAAAGGCGTGAAATCCTGTCTTCTCATTCTCAGTGCTTTTTTACCAGAAAGACGTTAACATGTCAGTCGCCATAATCGCATTGTCTTGTCGGGATCGCCCCAGTCACAACCTCTGACCCCATTCCGTACGAAGACATCCAAGCTGAGAGACCTAAGCCCTTCTCTCAAGCCGCTGGTTTCCTCTGGAAAGATCCGAGGCACCAACCTGCCAGAAGCTCCCATCTGTGCCCAAACGCCCCCGCTTGTGCCAAGTGGCAGGCCCGTGGTGCTGATGATGTTCGGGTTGACCTTGCAGCTCGTGGACACTTGCGCAGGGTTTGCAGGGTTTCTTTCGGGTTTGGGCGCGAAAGAAAAGCCCATCTTGCGGCATGGGATGGCGGAGGCCCTGTCAAGCTTTGAAACATCCGCACCTCTAAAGTTTTGAGGTCTATGGACAAAGCGTTCAGCATCCCTTCGGCCAGACCACGAAATCCCGACGACGCGTCCGGCCGCGGAAGTCTACGTCCCAAATGCGCATCGTCTTCGGTGCTCTCTGTCAGCACAACCATTCATATTTTCTTAATATATAGTTAATGTTTAAAAAATGTACGTAATATATATATATATATATATGTATGTTCATATATGATTGTTACAGAATGCTTTCTTAATACAATTTCAGGCACAGCCACCGAAAACCTACTCCTCGAACACACAACGTAGCATCGAGGCTCTGGTGGTATCGGCACAACATTTGGACGCTTACGAACATGGGGCGGACCCCCTCATCGTAGACCCCCAAATAGCTTTCCAGATCCAAGCCACGGCCATGATGTAGGCCGCGGTGAGGAAGGTTGTTACGCCAGCACGGATCTCCTCAACGGATCGGAGCTGGGATGATTTAGGGTTTAGGGTTTAGGGTTTAGGGTTTAGGGTTTAGGGTTTAGGGTTTAGGGTTTAGGGTTTAGGGTTTAGGGTTTAGGGTTTAGGGTTTAGGGTTTAGGGTTTAGGGTTTAGGGTTTAGGGTTTAGGGTTTAGGGTTATGAAAGCTGGCAAGCCTGCTTGCAGTGCGGGGACGAGTGACTAAGATTAACTGCTATCAGATCTAAAAGCCACCTTTCACGCTCGAGTTCTCAACGCATCCATGTCTCCGTCGTGAGGTTCGAGCCGCGCTGGGACACCTGGAGCTTTTGCTGAGTGAACGCTTCACGTCTGACTTTACGGCCTGAGGGTTGGCTGCAGCCCGCCCAAAGTTGGTGTCAGCCACTGCTGGTGAACGAAGTGTATCTTTCCTCAAGAAGATCTCTAGAGTGCCTCAAGCAATCCCTCTCCAGGCCCCCCTCCAGCCAACTGCCCCAAGGGTATTTTTCAGAGAGTCACTGGAGTGCCCAAGCCCAGAATCACCCAGAAAATCCCTGGAGTGCCGACCCAGAGTATCCCCAGAGAATCCCCAGAGTGTCCCTCCCTGGAGTGCCCAACCCCAAATTCCTTGCTTGAGGGTTAGGCGGTCCTTTCAAAGCATGGACCGGTTCATGAGTAAGGGAGCACAACTTAGAGAGCTGGTGTTGGGGATGCTATCGCACCCAGAGGCAACTCGGCCAGCCTTGAAGTAGTTGTCCACCATTCCGCCCCGGAACTTCGTGTCCAAAAAGGTGTCTTTCTGGGCGACTTGCCGGAATGTGCGGGGTCGCTCGCTTGCTTGGCTTCATGACTTTCGCCAGCAGTTCAGAGGCACTGTGGTGAGCACCCTAGAAACCTACCCTTTCTCCGCAGCGGACTCGTCCTTTCAAAAAGACTATCGCCGAGCTGCGACGGCCGATTTGCCCTTGGCGCCCACCTTGAAGTCGGGCTGTTCTTCTGCCATGGTGGAGGACAGGTCTGCAAGGGCAACGCGGGGCACAAAAGCTGCACTGTTCAAAACGCGCTTGAGGCGGCGAGGTGACGAGTCGATAAGGGTACAAGGCGGCAGCCCCATGGGTCCTCGCAGTCGCACGCATGATGACAGTGAAGGTGAGTTCGCCTTTTGAGTGGGATTTGAAAGAGGCGGTACTCAAAGCCTGACACCACATGTTGCATGGACGAGCAGCTTCCAAAGCATGAACTATACTTCACGTTTTACGGCTTGTGATCCTTATTTACTTTTTGTGTATCGTTACGCGATATCCCATATATCTTCAGCGAAAAGCCAAAGGACAAAGCCAATCGACAAAAGTCAGCAATCACTATGCGGAAAGCAGAAGCGGAAAGATAAGTGCAGTCAGAGATACTCAGACTCAGACAGCAAAAGCGGAAACGCAAATGCGCAACAAGCAGCAAGCAAGAAGCCAACGGCTGAAAGCAACAGAAGCCAGAAAGAAGAAAGCAGAAGCAATCATCATTACGTATGAAGGCAGGCCATATTTCAAGGTGCGTTCTGTCTCTTTCTTCCTTCCTGCCTTCCTTCCCTTAATTTCTGCAAGCCCCCATGCGATCCGCGAGCCCACACTTGTTGTGGAGACAGCGGTCTGTCTCTCGCTCTCTCGCTCTCTCGCTCTCTCGCTCTCTCGCTCTCTCGCTCTCTCGCTCTCTCGCTCTCTCTCTCTCTCTCTCGCTGTGGCTTTCTCGGACCCATGAATCTGAGGTCTGGAGTACCTCGAAAATTGAGGCTTGAGGCGTGACGCAGCTCATGAGTTTGTTGAACAGAAGAAGAAGAAGAAGAAGAAGAAGAAGAAGAAGAGCTGGAACCGGAGAAGCTTGGGGGGTTTTGGGGGGAGTTTCGGGGGCTCCGCATCCATGGATGGCTTGGGGGGCACTTCGGGCCATTTGCCTTTTTCGTCGCTTCCTGAAGCTCCGCGCGAGCATCCTTTGGAGCACGCGGTGCGGAGTGTTTTGACTTGCCTACATGTGGCAGTGGTCCGAGTGCCTGCGGGGGGGCAGCATGACGACCTTGTAATGCTTCCAGGGTTCGAAAAGTCTCTGGCGATTCGGTAAGGGTTGTACATGGTCAGGGAAAGGAGCAGGTAGGGTATACGGGTAGCAGGTTCCAAGCAGCTGAAATCCGTCCAACACCTCAATCGTACTCTCGCCTCGGCAGAAACATTCCTGATAAATGTCGGCTGAAGAACAGGAAGTGGATCTTCGACACTCTGCCTACTTCATGTCATTTCGTAACGCTAAATCCACAAACTCTGAACAACCTGGTCGGTGAACTTTACTGTAATAAGCAATCCCCCCCAAGGGGAAGAGGCGACACGCGTGATGGACCACTGCCTCAACAAGTCACAGCTGACAGCGGGGCCCCCCCGATTCTTCCTGCTCGGTGGCCGGGGGGGGGGGACTTAATCTTGCAGCAAAGCTGAGTACACAACTGGCTGGCGATTCTGGCAGCATCCTTACATATACATATGTGCATATATCTATATGCATAAGCATATGCATATGTAATTATGTTTATGTATATATATATATATATATGTATCCATCATTGTGCTTCTCCGGCTGCACGAATCCGGGCTGTCAGTGCAAAATGGGCGTTCCCGCAGAGATGGGGTGCTTCAACCTTGCAGTCTGAGCTGAGAACGCGGCTGCCTGCCCAAATATTCCGGCAAGGGTTTGGGGTTTAGGGTTTAGGGTTTAGGGTTTAGGGCTTAGGGCTTAGGGCTTAGGGTTTAGGGTTTAGGGTTTAGGGTTTAGGGCTTCCCTCTTGGGGCATCAAGCAGGAGCAATCAAGCGGTCCTAGTTTAGGACGTCGCCGCAACCTAAGGCGAAGCGAATAAGAAGCAAGATTGGCCATGTCGACCTGAGCCTCAAGCCCGGAAACCCTAAACCCTAAACCCTAAACCCTAAACCCTAATTCACCAAAGTAGAGAAGTGCTTTCCAACCATCAAGCCATCCCCAACAAGAACATGGCGGAGTGTGGCTCAGGCAACTTCGAAGATATTCGAAGATCGTCGGTTCCGAAGCATTTCCAGGAAATGCTACAGGCTTCTCCTAGGATCGGATTTTTGAGGTGAGCAAGTGCGTCCCACACACGCCAGGACGGGGCCCGCGCCGCCGGGGACGCATCACTCTCAATCCATCCCAGATTTCTCCGTTAAGTCAAGGGGAAAAAACGGATCGAGGGCCTCCCAAACTGGAGCCCGTAGGGTTTCCGTGCTGGTCCAGACGCATGCCGATCAGGGCTCTCCCAGAAGAGACACAGCCCTACTGGAGCTGCTTGCCCTAAACCCTAAACCCTAAACCCCAAACCCTGAACCAGCAAGGGCAACTCTGGCTGCTCAAGATCCCGCCGAGCCGTCGGTTTGGGGCTGCACTGGGCGTCTTTCGCGTTTAGGGGCCCGTGGAAAAGAGTTTAGGCTTTAGGGTTTCGGGTTGAGGAGAGAGTTTAGGAGCCACGGCATAGACAGAATAGAGTTTAGGGGTCCGAGTGGTTGGCGGCAGCTCGACAGGCGTTGACGCTGACCCAAAGCCCCAAGGGGCCTTTCCAGAACTTCAGAACGGCCTTACTCACGAGAAATTCTTCATGGTTTCGTTGCTGTTCCCGCCCCCATCCCCCAACCCCCACTCCCAGACTCTTTCTAGAGAATGTGCGGTGCCTACAAGGGTTTGGAGCTGGGACGTGCAGCCCCAACAGTCAGCTTGTTGGCTCAGGGATCTGCAGTCACAGGCAACTCTTTTGACGTTGCAGCGGCCGCTCCAATGGAGGTTGTCATTGTCAGTCAGAAGAACTGGCCATCTGATGTTTACTACTGAAATCTAGGCGACTGTGGCTGTTGTTCCTCAAACTCTTGTATGATTGACTTGCGCTAGGGTTGCAGAGTGCACGAGTCTAGCAGATTCCAGCAAAGCCAGGCGATGGCTTTTGTCGAACATGGGGTGCAGGGAACCTTCGGGAAGCTTAGGGAGCCTTAGGGAGTTGTAGGGAGTATTGGGGAACCTTGGGTTACATACGCCACTTGAACCCCCTGCCTTAAGAACCCTAAAGCCTCAACTTCTGCACAGAAATTACGGCAACCACTCGACGGTACTTTCCTGGGATTACGGTCGCTCTATGATACTTTCCTGGGCTGAGACAGCTGAAAAGTCCCTTCTCCAGCCACTGAAGCCGCCCAAAACTCAACATTTAGTGTGCAACCATCGACATTCGAGAACTAGCAGATCAGTGCAGTTACTTAAACGAAAAGCTGCTGCTCACAACTTGCTCAGAGGCTTGTGTGCGCAGGCTCCTGGATGCGAGGGTTGAGGGCCAAGGGAAGGGAGGTTTAGGTGTTTAGGGTTTAGGGTTTAGGGTTTGGGGTTTAGGGTTTAGGGTTTAGGATTTAGCGTTTAGGGTTTAGGGCTTAGGGTGTAGAGTGTAGGGTTTAGGGTTTAGGGTTTAGGGCTTAGGGCTTAGGGCTTAGGGCTTAGGGTTTAGGGTTTAGGGTTTAGGGTTTAGGGTTTAGGGTTTAGGGTTTAGGGTTTATTAAGGGTTAAGGGTTTCGGGTTTCGGGTTTAGGGTTCAGGGTTCAGGGGTTCAGGGTTCGGGGTTCAGGGTTCAGGGTTCAGGGTTCAGGGTTCAGGGTTCAGGGTTCAGGGTTCAGGGTTCAGGGTTTAGGGTTTAGGGTTTAGGGTTTAGGGTTTAGGGTTTAGGGTTTAGGGTTTAGGGTTTAGGGTTTAGGGTTTAGGGTTGGGCCTTGAAACCCCAAGCTGCCCACCCCGAACCCTTCACTTGGAGTCTCAAACGGGGTTTCCGAAATTCGGGGGCGGGATACCTTATGGGAGTCCTTACCAGAAAGGGAAGCCTACTATTTAGCGGGGTTGTATCTTACCCCAAACCCTAAACCCTAAACCCTCAACCCTAAACCCTAAACCCTAAACCCCAAACCCCTTGAAAAAAATGCCCCAAAATCCCTGAACC